CTTCCGATCGAGAGACCAGAAGCAATGAGTATGCCCGGTGCAAATCTCGGAGGGAAACTCTCGAAGAGATCCATGCTAGGGGCTTCGATCTCTCGGAAGAGATAGTGCAGGCCAAGGCGGATGAATACGACGCCAAGTTCCTCGTATCCTATTCCGAAGATAATAGAGAAGGGGCTGATGGGGCCGCAGTTCCCGAGGGGAAAATAGACTAGGCTTTTTTTCTCTTTGATTCTTTGTACAGTGTTCTTAGGCAACTTTGTAAATGGAGTTTTGTATATACGTATAAAAGGAAGCCTTTTGGTTTCATCTTTCATGCATTACCATCTGTTTGTGTATGTTATTCTTTGTCTTGTATTTTGACGTTAGTCAATGATTAGCCAGATGAACTGTTCTTCGAGGTAAAAACGCTTAGGTTAATGAATCAGCCCTGAGTCTTGTTAGGCTTTGAATTTTGAACTGACTGTTAGACTCTTACGCATCGGGTCGGTACGACCTTTAATTTAAGATGGCGACAGTGGCTCTCACGCGTTGTTGGTAGGACCTTAATTTAGCTGACGGGAGTGGCTTTTACGTGTTGGGTCGGTACGACCATTAGTTTAAGCTGGCGACTGTGGCTCTCACGCGTTGGGTTGGTATGACCTTAATTTAAGCTGGCGACAGTGGCTCTAACGCGTTGGGTCGGTACGACCATTAATTTAAGTTGGTGGCAGTGGCTCTTACGCGTTGAGTCGGTACGACCATAATTTAAGCGGGCGAAAGTGGCTCTTACGCGTTGGATCGGTACGACCTCTAGTATAGGCTTTATTTTTCCCTCGTGGAAGTTTTTTGTGTTCGTCCAACTCTTCGACGGTTCGATAAGAACCTCGATTGCGAGTCATTATATGACGATGGGCGAGCACCTCGGGAGGTCTCTTTCGATGGCTGAATTGTTTCGAAGCCTTCTGTTCGGAGCTGATAGGATCGAATCTCTTTTGCTTAAACCTAGGGTAGCCTGATTAACCGGTTCTTTTAGAAGTATTTTCGAAGCAATTGGAAGGCTTGGGATTTCATAGCAACGGTCGGGCATCCCCGAGGCGCGTAAGTTTGGCCGGAGCCTTGTGACCATAGTCATTGTGTTTGGCCGTAGCCTTTTAGTCCCCGAGTGAAGTAGTTTCGGCATTTATATCGAGGGTATACCTTTTTAGGGGTCTTACAAGTTCGAATATATAGCCTTAACTTTAAGATCCGTATTAATATATAGCCTTAACTTTCAGATCGGGATTATGCCTTTTGTAAGGACTTATAATTTTTAACATGCCTTACTTGAGGTCTTACAGATTTGGTTACTTGGTACAAGTATAACTCATGCCTTGCTTGAGGTCTTACAGATTTGGTATTGCCTTATGGAGGTCTTATACTGTTGATAATTCCTTGTTGAGGTCGTACATTTTCTAGTATTACGACATGGAGGGCTGTCGGGCTCGAGGTTTCCCGCTTGGGGTCTTACGGCATTGAGTTTATGATAGCTCGATGGATGGCAGTCGGCGACAGTCCTTGAGATATCAAAAGTTTTTCGGCTCTGGAGCCATTCTTTGTAAACTTGGCGTTGCCTCATTGAGGTCTTTTGAGTTTGAAATTTTTGACCCGGAGGTAATATGTCTTCGAACTTTTTAACGTCAATCCCCGGGTGTTCGGAAAATTTCTGGCTCTGGAGCCGTTTCTTGTAAAAATAGCAGACTTCTTTCGAAGCGCAAAGCATTTTGATGGAGGAAAAATATATATTCTTTGACTACTTGGCACAAGTATACATGTTTTCGTTGTCAAGGGTTTTGTTATTCTATGCGGACACGGTTCGTTCGACCGTTTGGCCCGATACATCATTTTCCTATCGAGACCCTTTTTGGCTCATCTTGACTTCTCCGAGGAGGTGATCTCCCAGGTGGATGCCCCATTGTATTCGAGGTTGATTGAAGAGAAACCTTGAAATACTTGTTAAGTTTTCCTTAGGTAGCATATAGATGTTGCCTCGCTAAAAACCTTGCTGGTAAAACCCTTGTTAGGATAAAACCCAATCAAAGGAAAAGAGTACAACGCATGCTTTAGAACCTAAGGTCTTTAAGCTGGAAAGCTCTTCGACTATTCCGGTCGGAAACCTGCACACAGGTTAGTATAAAATGTAAACAAAAAGGGAGATGATTATACCTTAGTGTTGATGGCGCTTCGAGCCTCGATATGCTTCAACCGTTTGCTCCGGGGATGCGGTACAGTCCTTTGTTCGTTTAGTCGGTTGTAGCCGAGAATGTATCTCGTGATTTCTACTTTACCATTTTCTTATCCTTTGGCTCTTTCGATGTTGAAAGCGTCGATGCCGGTGCCACATCGTGCACCGCGAACATCTCTCTTGCTTCATGTTGTTCTCCGTATATAGTTTTTATTCCGTCCTTTTTCGGAAACTTCATCATTTGATGAAGAGTTTATGGTACTTCCCTCATGCAGTGTATCCATGGCATTCCGAGCAAGGCATTGTACCTCATGTCTCCTTCGATGACATGAAACTTGTCATTTTGGGATGCGCCGGCCACGTTGATCGGGGGGGGGGGGGGGGGGTGATTTCCGCTTTCATTGTTTTACTCGCCATGTTGAATCCTTTGAGGACTCGAATGGCGGGCACAATCTGATCGAGCAGTCCGAGCTGCTCCACCACCCTCGACCTGATAATGTTGGCCGAGCGACCTGGATCCACAAGCACACGCTTAATTTGAAATATATTCACAAGAAAATAAATTACCAAGGCATCGCTATGAGGCTTAGATAGGGCCTCGATGTCATTGTTGCCCAATGTGATAGCATCTTCGGGTATGTAACCCCGAGTTTGCTTCTCCCTAGGCATGGATATTTTGTTCTTTTGACAATGGGTTCCTGCGGGATGTCGATTCCTCAAAAAATCATGTGGATGGCATGTTGAGGATCATCCGTCTCATTTTTTCTGTTCGCCTCACTTTCCCGAAATTGATTTTTGCCCGGTCGCTGAGGAACTCTCAGAGGTGCCCTCTGTTGAGTAGTCGGGCTACTTTTTCTTGGAGCTGTCTGCAGTCTTCGGTCCTATGACCATGTGTGCCGTGAAATTCCCACACCAAGTTAGGGTTCCTTTGTGGTGGATCTGATAGTACGGGTCTTGGCCACCTGGTGTCTCTGATCTTCTCGATGGCAAATACGATGTCCGAAACGTCAACGTTGAAGTTGCATTATGATAAGAGGCGTGCTTCCATCAGTCCTATGTGCCTGTCGAATCCGGCTCTGCTCACGAGTCCCCGAGTATTCTGACCTTGATCTATCCTTCGATCATTTCGGGGTATGTTATGTCTCGGGGTATTTCTTCTATTTGCAATGTATGGTTGGTACCTTTCTTTGTTTGGCCTTAGCTCCTTTGCCAGAAGCCTGCTAGGATATACTAAGCCTGAGATGTCTCCGATTTGGTCGTCGTTGACCTTGATCTTTGACTGATATCGGTTGTGAACATCCGACCAAGTCACGGCGGGATATTCTACCAAGGTCTGCTTTAGTTGCTTTGAAGCTACTGAGCCTCGTTTGTTCGAACCTTGGTTGAAGGCCTGCAGTGCCCAGTCATCAGAGACTAGTGGTAATTCCATTCGCTCCATTTGGAAACGAGATACAAACTCCCGCAGCATATTGCTTGATCTTGAAGACGTCGGATTTTCTTGTAGCAACCTTAATGGCACCGGCGCGTACCTTTATAAAAGAATCCGCCAGCATGGCAAATGAATCTATTTAATTCAGGGCTAGGTTGTGATACCACATCATGGCCCCTTTTGAAAGTGTTTCTCCGAATTTCTTCAATAGGACGAATTCAATCTCGTCATCCTTCAGGTCGTTGACCTTTACCGCACAAATGTAAGCAGTGACGTGCTCGTTGGGCTCCGATGTTCCGTTGTACTCCAGAACATCGTGCATTCTGAATTTCTTCGGGATAGGCTTCGGAGCAGCATTTTGTGGGAATGGCTTTTGTACGAATTTCTTTGAATCTACCCCCTTTAGGATCGGGGGTGCGCCTGGAATTTGATCGACCCTTGAATTGTAGGTCTCCACCTTCTTTCATTGGCTTCTATCTTCTTCTCGCCCGATTCGATCCTCTTTGTGAGGTCCTCGAGCATCTTTATGATTGCGGGGTCGGTTGCTGACCTGTTGTTGCGTGATCTTTCTGGTACCTGTTCGGCTTGAGGAGCCGTTTTCGGTGCTGCTGTGCTTGGACTTTTTTTGGTAAGTTTGCAGTTGAGCAATTGCCAGTTGTTATGCCTGTAATATCTCAAAGATAACATGAAGGCTAGTTTTACAATTTGTTATTTAGAGGGATCGATCTATTTATAATCCCCTATGCATCATTTTTTGAAGGGTGTGCTCTACCCTCGTGTTGTATCAACAAACTTCCTATTTTTTCTAATAAAACACCCCGAGGTAATCTGGGAAAAGTTTAAAAAAAAATACACCATACATATACCATATAGTGATATGAAGAAGAGCCCAAGTTATTTTAACCTATCTTTTGTTGATTTTCTTCAGTTACATTTAACAAGTGGAACACTTGGCCTTATCACTCGTAAAAAATAGAAAGTATTCGTTCTAAAAAATTGAAAAATATTATACCATTTTTAAAGAGTAAAAGTAGCATCATTAATCTACTCGTATTCGAGTGAATGGCTAATATTTACACTTAAATTATGAGCCACGAATTGTTTTTCGACTCAAAAAAGATGAATAATCCAACTTCTTCTCTTGTTCTTTTATTTTTCTTGTTAATATTCACTTGTCTTTGTCAAATAACCGCAAAAGCGGACGATGCCGAGGCTAAGGTAATTTGGATATTCTTGAATTTTATATAAACTTTTTTACAAATTGACAAGAATATATTTGAAACTTAATTTTCGTGGAGAGAGAGTTCTACTATGCACAATCTTCCGAATAATGCACGAGTGATTTGAATAGTTAGCTTTCTTCTGATTTTATCGAATATTCTTTAATTTGTTCATGTAAAATGACCATGAGGGATATGGGGAGTACTTTAACTCTAAAAAGATCCAACTCTTTGTAGGTATATGGGGAGATTCGGAAGCATTTAACGATGAGGGACTAGGTCCGATTCCATCTCGATGGAAAGGTAAATGCATATCTGAAGGAAACTTCGATGCCACAAAACATTGTAACAGAAAGATCATTGGAGCTCGTTGGTACATAAAGGGATTGATGGAAGAAAGGAAACTAAACGAGACAATGGTCAGGCAATTATATAATTTATCATCATTAGATAACACTGGACATGGTACACATGTTGCCTACACAGCTGCTGGTTCTTATGTTAACCATCTTGAATACTATGGCCTTAACATGGGGACAACACGAGGAGGAGCACCACTTGCACGATTAGCTATTTATAAGGTACTGTTTGAAGCGTGTGACCATTACAGCTAAAAGCTTAAATACTAACAAGAAGAAAATACTTTTGTTTTACTTTTTTAATAATATTACTTATGTTTTTAACAGGTATCCTGGAAAGACGCGAAAGGTGTGCCATTTTCTAGTGGTGCTGATATTCTTTCTGCTATTGATGATGCCATAAGAGACGGGGTTGATATATTATCAGCATCTCTTGCTGGTGGTCCTTTAACCTTAGCTGAAGTTCATGCCGAAAGTATATTGGGCATAGGATCTTTTCATGCAGTATCCCATGGCATACCTTTTGTTGCTGGTGCAGGAAATAGTGGACCTAACTCAAACACAATCGTCAATAGTTCTCCATGGCTTATAACGGTTGCTGCTAGCAACGACGATAAACAAATTGTTACTCCTTTAACACTTGGCAACAACAAGACAATACTAGTAAGGCTTTTCTGTTATGTTAAAACTTTTACTCCCTCCGTTTCATATTATTTGAGGTAGTTTGACTCGGCACAAAGTTTAAAAAAAAAAAAAAAACCAGAAGACTTTTGAAAGTTATGGTCTTAAAAGCTTAAGGGGTAAAAGGTTTGTGGGGTCATGCCATTTGTGTGGCTATAAAAGCTTCTCATTAAGGGTAAAAAGGGTAAAATGAAGAGTTTAAAGTTGAATTATTTCCAAATTTAGAAATGTGTCATTTGTTTTGGAACTAACTAAAAAGGAAAGTACCTCATCTAATATGAAACGGAGAGAGTATCATTTTTAGTGTAACAGTTAAAATGGGAGCCTATAACTTTTGGAATCAATTCAAACTTAGCGTGAAATAGAGCACAAAAGAAGAAAACTATCTATATAAGCCACATCAATTGTAATAAGTTGAGATTAAGCTTTAATCATATATACAGGTATATTGTGTGTGTATGTGCTAGAGATTTATATGCTAGCATAAAATATAGGCAGAGAACTTCTATAATATGCGAGTGAAATATTTTTTTATATGATATTGTCCTTGGGCCGAGTTTTGTTGTTGTTGTTGTTTTGTTGCATCATGAATAACAAGAACTCATATAACCTACTCTATCTCGGTTGAGATAGACGCATAATAGTTATTGTTATTGTCATTAGTTAAAACTTTTATCACTAAATTGCTGATTACTTTTTAAATTTTTTCTTGTACTTACTAGTATGGACTTTTAAACAATTTGAGTGGTTGTAGGGTCAAGGACTTATTAAAGGGAAGGGAAGAAGTGACTTTGCTCCTTTGGTCTTTCCTGGCTGTATAACAAAGTAAGTGAAATGTATATTTTATCATCCAATAATACAGATTACAAGTTACCAAGCCCTTACCATTACCTTTTAATTATTTAATTTTGTTAACAATTTCATTTTCCATTTGCAGTCCTAAAGACGTCATGTCTATTGCCAATGAAGTGAAAGGAAAAGTTGTCATGCTTTTCTCGGAAACCAAACCGGATATTGTTGGATACCTGATAGCACTAAATAATACAGGAGTTTCGGCTTTTATTTATGCTATGCCCCCTCTTGATGGAATCGAAGACTTCAATCAAATTGTTGGTGTCCCTATACCATTTATTGCCATCGATTTCGAGCAAGGAAACCAAATTGTTGATTATTTTATAAATTGTAAATCCAAGTATGCATATAATATTTCTCCTTCTCCTTCTTTTTTCTCTTCTTCCTGTTTTTTATCGATCTTTATATGACTTCTCGGGTCCCTAAAATAAGCATTACATAAAATATTCTTTAGAAAAGAAATTAGTAAATGACTTGTATATCATGTCTAAGCACCTTTAGTTGTATATATCAGTGCATTGACTTTTTCTGTTTGCAACAGTAATCAAGATCCTATGATTAAATTGGGCCGATCTGAAGTTCTTGAGGGTAAGAAGACAGTCCTAAAGGTGCCTAAGTTCTCATCAAGAGGCCCAAATTCCTTTACCCCAGAAATTCTGAAGGTAAATATATAAATATACATTATTTTGACATGAAAACTGCTCTCAAAGAATATACGTCAACAAGGGTCTCTTAAGTCTTAATATAACCATTTCTATGTTGAATTGTTTTCTTTAATTATTTCCTATTTATTAGTTTAATTTACCGAATATTGTTGTAGCCCGATGTTGCTGCTCCTGGTGTAAATATACTCGCAACATTTATTCCTCGCTCTGGAGACAATGGATTCAAACTTGAGTCAGGAACATCTATGGCAGCCCCTCATGTCTCAGGAATTGTGGCACTCCTCAAAGCTGCACATCCTAATTGGTCTCCTGCAGCTATCAAATCCGCACTTGTGACTACTGGTAATATCTTATTGATTTAAGTAGATAATATTTATACTATATATGCACTTCAACTTGTTATAATTATAAGTTATCATATTAAACTATCAAGTATGAAGAGTTAACCATTGTGAAAAAAATTTATACACTATTATTATATATAACCTAAACTCATATCTTATATTGTTTCATTGAGAAAATAGTGTAACGTAGATGCGTTATTTTTGCACGATTAGTGTATTTAACCTATTTACAACATGTTGTTTACTAAGTTTTCTAGGTTATCAAATTACGCTTATTATAAATAATTATCTATTGTTATAGATTACTTTAAATTTAATAATGCAAAAATAAATTTATACCGTCAGCGCACATAAGTTAAACTTTGAAATGAATAGTCTTTCCTTCCTTTCACATCTTTTCATATGGGTTTACATTACATACAGTAATAGTGTAAAAAAAATCCCAATATCTATTTATCGAAATCTCAATTTTGTACTAAGATAATCTTTATTTTGACTTTTGATACTACATTTATGTAAACAAAATAAAGTAATTCTACTTTGGAACTTTTTGGCATAAACGTACAGTAAGACCAATAAAAACGATATATAGTTCAAGTAGCTTTTTTATCTTTTGGCAACGTCAGATCTAATAACAAATATTTTAAATGTACGTGTAGCATGGAACGAGGACACATATACAACTGAAATCTTTTCAGAAGGAGCAGGAGACAAACTAGCTGATCCATTTGATTTCGGAGGTGGAATTTGTAATCCAAATGGAGCGACGGATCCTGGCTTAGTCTATGACATGGATAAAGATGATTATTTGAATTATCTTTGTAGCTTAGGTTATAGTAATGAGATGGTTTATAATGCAACTAATATTTATCGTCTAGCAAAAATTCAACTGCAGCAGGAGGCATTGTATGTCCGAAAAAAATCCCCTCTAGGTTGGATTTGAATCTCCCTTCAATATCTATTCCAAACCTCAAGAACTCAGTTACTGTCAAGAGAACTGTTACAAATGTTGGAAATGTCAACTCCATATACAAAGTATTGGTTAAACCTCCGAGAAATACTGCTATTAAAGTAAGTCCACGTGTCTTGAAGTTTAACGCAATGACAAAGAAGATTTCTTTTGAGGTCAAAATCACATCTACTCACCAAAGTAGTACTAAATTTACCTTTGGAAGTTTGGCGTGGAGTGGTGGCAAGCATTTTGTTAGAATTCCTATTGCTGTGAGAAAGCAAATAGATGTGTAAATTAAAGAAAAAGATTTTGGCATGGATTGATGACACGCAATTTGTTAGCGAAAAAAAAAAAAAAGATGTATAGTATGCTTTTTGCTCAAACCCCCTCCCCTCTTAGTTCTCTTTCTTCATGTTTTTCTTTCCTTTTTTTTTTTTTGAAGATGTAATTAGATAGAGAAGTGAATAATTAACAAATAAGAGCGACTTCAATATTTTTGAGATGTCGAAGATCATTTGTGCTTTTTTGTATTTTATGATTCTGTATTGTTCCTGCGCCTGCAAGTCGATACTCTAGAAAAAATTCCATGTGGGTAGAAGACTTGGAAATATTTCTCATTTTTACGCAATTCCAAGTTCATCTAATTCGAAACCATATTTAAGTCATAATAAACCTATTTAAAGATATTATATATTTCTCCAATTTTTAATGACAAACTACAAACTATTAATGAAATTGCTAGCAGGGATAAAGAACACGAGCCTATATTAATCACTGTCATAAAAGTTGAATAGCCTAAAAACTATATATATGCTATCTTTGAGAAAGCAACAACTAAATAAATGAAAACTAGGACACGAAAAAATTCTCTCTAGAAACGGCTCTCTAACGGCTCTTTCATAAGCGAGTGCCTTCACGCTCCTTGCTCATGGATCCACCGGACGACATCCCTCCTGTGCGTCTAGATGGCCAATCCAATCTCAATCCCCCAATTAAACGGAGAACTGAATCTACGGATAGAAAGTTGTCTTATGTGAATAAGGTTTCCACTTACAAACAATTCCCAACATCCCCAAATCAACATGAAAGAGAATCTGTCGGTGCAACACACACCACACACAATGGAATGTCGGCGGTCTTCTTCAAGTCATCGGATTACTACGGTATTACGGCAGCTGAGTGTAGGCTCGTGATAGTGGAAAGATTAGTCAAACCTAGGCCCCAAATCGATCGAATTAGGTCAAATTTGAAAGAACGAATATTTCTATTAAAGGCTCGATCAAGGTTGGGGTTTATGATAACTACAATATTTTCTTGGATTTCACCAAGACAACTTCAATTTTGTCTGGTACACACTACGAAAAACAGAAATTATTGTGGCGGTTAAATAACAGCGGTTCATCAAAACTGCTGCAATATATACCATAATATTGCAGCGTTCCAAACGCCATTAGTGCGTATGTTAAAATGCCATTTTTTTTACAATTACAGCGGTTCAAAACCGCCACTAATGATTAATATTAAGAACTTTATTAAAATTATTAAACGCCATCAAAACAGACGGTCTCTATCTTTCTAAACCACAGACCTTCTCTTTACACCTTCTTTCTCTTTCTCTCTAAAGCCCTAGATAAATATGTATCAATTTTATTCCCCCAAATCGTTTAAGGTCTAAATAAATAAACATTTTGCCATAGCTTTTATGTAAGGAGATCAGATTTCCAGTCGTTTAAGGTAATGTGTTTGAGACGATAGACTTTTTCTGATAATCCGGTTTCAAGTCGTTCGTGTAATTCCTTTCAAAATGCCATTGATTTCACCGATTTAAGGCGTGCATGTGTGTGTATTGGATGGATATCACTATAAATCACTGATTTTAGCTGTGAATTTCAATGATTTAGGTTTTGATTTTGCTGATTTAGCCATTGATTTCATTGATTTTAGGCGTGCATGTGTGTGTATTGGACAAAGATCAGTTTAAATCACTAATTTTAGTTGTCGATTCACTGCTTAAGCCATCAATTTCACCGTTTCAATTTTATTGATTCTGCCGTCGATTTCACCGGTTTAGCTGCCAATTTCTGCTAATAGTTTTATTTCTTTTTTCTTTTATTTTTGTGTCAAGTTTTGTTACTTTTCTGTTCAATTAAGTTTGTGCTTGTTTAAATTTTGACATTTTTAGTTTATGTTCTGCTAATATTAACCTAAATATCATTTATGGCCTTGACAGGTAGCCAAAGAATCTAAAATAGCTGGTAAAGCTATTGGGATCGATACAGACAAAATTATATTTGAAAGGTGTAGATAACTTTATCCTTTCTTTTATTGGGATCGACGTCGACAAAATAGGAAGTTCCTTTTATTGGCAATTTTCATTTCTCTTGTAATTTGACAATCTGTGTGATGAAGCTCTTAATTATAACTAGCTAGAGATGCCTTAGTGACTTTTCATAGTGTCTACCACAGTGATTATGTGCTATTACTCGAGGTTGTATACCTGAAAAACATAACTGAAACATATATGACCGCTTAAAGTTAGTTCTAAGGCTGTCATTTAGTTGAATCACATTAGTTTAGTTGCTTGGGTTGTCTTCTTTCTTCACATATGTATCTATTGATTCTAATGGTCTCTTGAGACGTTATTGTAAAGGTCTTCCTAATTTTAAAATAATTAGACTGGGTTTAATGAACTTATGAAGCTATTCTTGAATGTAACCTGCCAATTGCTACTCACTCATCTCAGGTTATCCCTTAGGAATTGAACTAAAATTGCATATGCTATGACTGAACATTAACTGTTATGTTAGTAGGCTGAATAGAACTTCAACATGATCAATTCATCACTCTTAACATGTACAGCTAAACAAGACCACTTAGTATAAAATTTTCATTGTACTGAATTTCTATAATAGCATTGTTAGTTTGATTCAGTTATGTTTGAAACCTAACCCTGTTTGTAATGTTGTAACCCTGGTTAGAATGTCTCATGTATGTACTTGAATACCATCTCTTAAGGGTTCTGCACCTATCCTTGTTTGTAATTAGACCTTTACTTGTCCTTCATGATCATGTTTGTACCTCTATTAATATTGAACATGTCTAAGTTTATATAAGCCAGTTGTAGTTCACTTATAAAATTAAAGGAAAGCTTCTGATATTATCTGTCCTGCCTGAGTATAGTAGTGTGCCTTCACATATAATAAGGTCAGTATGAGTATAGGATTTAGAGCTTTAAAGGGGAAACAATTATGTCACATGCCTAGGATAAGATTGACATGTCAACTTGCATAAGTATCTCTGCTAATACTCTTTAAAAGATTCCAAATGAAGTTGTTAACGCATGTCTCCAATAAAAGTTAAAACTTAAAATTTATAGATGGCTCCTTGATTAGTTTGAACAAAGGTTGTTAAGGTATTGTTGTCAAGGACATCTAGCTTTTTCATTTTGCTATTGCGAATTTGAATTATGGCTCCTTGATTAAGTGATTATTATTCTTTTGATTTCCATATAGTGGCTATGAACTAGCTTTTTTATTTTGTTATCGTGATGTTATCTTATATCTTCTTTTCTAGCCATGTCAATTGATAAAGTTTGGATTAGTAAACCACGAAATACACTTGAATATGTGGATGGCCTTAGAAAATTTCTGGATTTTGGTTTTGTGTATGGGTCTATTGATGAGCGTGTAATTAAGTGTCCATGTCCGAAATATGGTTTTAACAAGTGGAAAAGAAGAAATGTAGTTGAAGAACGCCTGACTTGTAAGACTTTTCCAAAAATTATAAAGTTTGGTATTTTCATGGTGAAGAATCAAATGCAACTATGCCACAAATATTTCAAAGCACACATGTCATAGAAGAAACTCTGCAGCCCCAAGATCCAATGATAACCATGATTAACGATGCATTTGGGTTCATATGGAACAATGTCAATAAGCCGGGTGTGTCTTGTGAGCCTATTACTAGTGAAGAAACATTTAATGAAGGGCATAATGAAGAATATGCACAGTTCTATGAGCTGGTAGATTTTGGCAATCAACCATTATATGAAGGTTGCGCAAAGTATTCCAAATTGTCCTTTCTATTCAAATTGTATCATATCAAGTGTTTGTACCGAATGACTAACAAAGCGATGAGTATGATATTAAAAATCAATGGATTCGATGACCAACCAAAGATGGCTTCTTTTTTCCCTTTTTCGTTTTGCTTAATACAATGGGCCCCTTGTCGCTTTTTATATGTAACAAAAATACTCCTACTTTGACTCGTAGGCGCTTTGCTTGAGAAATCAACGGATTCGAGGACAACAAGCACTTCCCCATACTAGTGGTGCTATGAGTTTGGCTAGAAGAAGGGCTTTGATGGTAGTTTAATACGACGTACTTACTGTCACTTTAATGTGACAAGAGTTATTTAGTTCAATTTTACTTTTTAAAACTTTCAGAAGAAACAGTGAAAAGAAGTTGATCGCGGCAAAGTGTGGACTGAGACTCATAAGAGGAAAGATGGGAGTTATGTGAATGATAAAGCTAGGGTGATTGGGGTAAGTGTCGATCACTATTTTCTGCTTTCTTCTTTTACCTTTCTGTTAGTGGGAAAATGCCACAATGTTCTAGCCGATGATGAAGATGAAGTACCCGAGTTAAGTTCTGAATACCAGTGGTAGTTTGCCCTTGAAATGATTGATCTCTTATGTGAATTTGCCTCCATCAGTAATTTGTTTGTTCTAGCTTAAAGTCAGATATTCTGTCTGATTCCCTAAAGGAACTTTAATAGGGATTTGCCTCCATGGACTTTGTGAGTGTCTTATGGACACTAGCTAACATTGGTTCGAACAAACATAGCATATGACTAATTAAGTCTAGAGCTGCAGCAATTTTAACCGATTTATCCCAGAATTATATGCATACAAATATTTATGCTGTTTCAGTTAATGATCTAGCTACTAGGGAAAGCACAGGTTTGCTGTAAGATGGGAATTAAAAATAGTACTTGTGACATTTGGGCATCTTTAGCTATTTCTTCTTTCTAGTATATAATATAAGGCTAATAACTTCTTTTATCTTCATTTAGCTAAAAATTATTTACTTCATTGTAGTACATAATATGTTGTAGTTGAAAATTATATTTTGTCTCTCGCGTAGGAAAGAATTCAAGAGATTTGAAGACAAAGACCAGAAACTCTGGCAGAAATTTCACCGAATGACGCACTTGGTGTAGTCTTCGGTCCGAGCACCCTGGCCGTGTTCGAGGCTTAGGCATGGGTGCAGCTCGAATTGTAGCATTCAAGCAAACATCAAGATGAGGTGGTTGTTCTTATATGGGCGCAGCTAGCACTAGTGCTCCACCTCCATAATGAATGCAAGAGATGGCAAATATGAGATCACAATTAAATGCGCTAACAAGCTTATTTCAAATGAAAATAGAAAATATCCCTAAGGAGTTTGCTCACTTATTTTCAACTCCTTCACACGTAAG